TTGAGTTTTATGTTGTATAATTTAAATTGTGTTAAATTATAAAATAAAAATGATTGAATTTAAAAAAAGCTTTTAATATTAAAAAATTTATTCCTCATTGAATGATCATTGTTATATAATTAAATATAATTTAAACTATATAATAATTTTTTCTTTTTAGACAATTTTTCCTTTTTAGAAGGGCACAGTTTTTCGTTTTTTTATCTTTTCCTTCTAGAAGGAGGCTTTGGATTCTTAATTCATGTCTCTGTTAATTGAGTTGAATTCCAAGATGAAATCAGAAATGCTCTTTTTCTTTTGAAAAAAAGAAAAAAGAAAGGAGGTAAATTAAAGGACATGAATCAGGATATGACCAAACTCACTTTGAACCAACTTTAAAACCTACAAGGCCCAACCCTGCTACAGAAGTTTGGCTTGTAGCATCCTTTATCAAACAAACACTTTTGGTCCACCCTCCTGCAATTTTTTGGACTGTTGCTTTGGGATTGGGACCGTTCCTATAATATGCAGATTTCTGCCACAATACTGCATTTGCTATTTATGAGTTTGCGTGTATCCTTTGTACCTTGATGTGATAGTAGCTCACACCAACAGAAGCCCAACAGCAACCTGCCCTCGAGGATTACCATACAGTTACTCATCACATTAAAACACACTGCTCACTTCCTCACAATCTATTTTCCCAATTATTAAATTTAGATGAATAGAATTTTTAGATTCAATTATTCGACTCAAGTTTTAAGTGTTTAGGTAAAATGATCGGAGCTTTGAATTTCACCATTGTCGTCGTGATCTCTACTAAAAAGTAACTTGATAATCGTGCACCTCATTTGAAAGGATGAAATGTTCACCCAAGTCTAAAACTCAATTGCTAACAATTAACTCATACTAATTTTTTAATTATTATCATTGTAAAAAAATAAATAAATTTAGATATTTTAATTTAATTACTTTTTCTTATTTAAATGAGATATTAAATTTTATTATTTTAAATTTACTTTTATTTCTCTAATTATTTATAGTGCTTTTATTGAGTCTAAAGGTGTCATTTTATGTTTTATTTTTAACACTTAATTTTTAAAGTTTTCATCAATTCTTAAATTATTTAAGTATATGAGGAGTTAAAAAGTAGTACAATAAAATGACACCTAAGAGAATACAAAAGATCCGCAAGAGAACACGTATAAAGTGCTTTAATATGAGTCTACAAATACCTGCAATAACACATGCAATTATTATTCTATAAGGTATTCAATACCATTCTCTATCTATTTTTCTTTTCGAAAAAAAAACCTCTTAAGTCATATTAATTACGGCTTATTATTATTATTTTTTTTATTAAGGGCAATTTTTGGGGAAAGAGGGGGATTGAATTCAACCTCATGAATTGGATGATACACACCATTACCAAGCGGCCTACAAGATTAAGTGTGTAATTATGATTTGTTGGTTTTTGAATATGATGTATTTACTAAATATTAGAACACAAAATCATTGATTCTGATAGAACAATAAACATATTGATTTTCCATGGTTGCTATTTTGTGTTTTTGAGAAATTAAGCAAAAGTTAAGGGAAACAAAAAGTTGATTGGATCAATGATCTATTAGTTTAAATAGAAAAAGTTTGATTTTTTTAAATAAGATATTGAGTTCAAATTTTAAAGATAAAGAAATAAGTAATGGTCTGATATAACTCAATTATAAATTAATTAGAATCTAATGTGATTCTTAAATATCAAAAAATAAGTTAAAAAAAAAAAAAAACTAAGAGTGTATGAGTCTTCTTTTCATCATTAAGAAGAAGACTACAACCTATGTATTTATAAAAAGATATTTAGGCTTTGGATGTAAGAAGAAATAAGGCCCAAGTCAATAGAATAACATGATACTCTTATTAAGGTGTTTTATAATAAATGAAACTTATATTCATTATTTTAAAATCACATTCCTTAATAAATATACAAAATAAACCATTCTGACATACTCATTATATTTATGGATCAAATAATTATGAATTCACCTGTCCAATTTCCTTTTACTATACTCGATCTATTTTTTTATACAACTAACAAAATTACACAATCAATACCAATCCACAACTAAAAAAATCCTAAGAGGAACTTAATCTCTCTAATGCTATATTACTAATTTAGGGGGAGTGTCTACCAAAGGACGACTCACCAGGCTTTGCAGGTCCATCGACCTCGTCAAATCCGGACCACGACCTAAGTATTAGTTAACCCCCCAAAGTCAATTTAAGATAATTTCTGCACAAACATACTCATATAAACAAATATATTGCCGATAAATAATTAAAAATAAAAACACTATTGTAAATTTGTCATATATACACCTAACCTCGTATGCGATCGAGTGCGATATAGACTAGTTAGTGTATTTCCTTTGCCCAATTAGTAGTTTGGGTTAATGTATATTTACAAAAGACACTAATTAATTAATATATATTTTGATTAGAGAATGTGCTTAAATTTAGTGGTTACTATCCTCTTATAAGGATTTTTCATGCTAACTTGAGGTTTGAGATTTGAATCTCATCTCTAACCTTCAAAATATATATATTTTGATTTAATATATTACATAATATATTTAATAAAAAATTATTATTAGAAAAAAACAGCCTAAGCCGCTTAGGCACTGCCTGTGCACTCTAAGCTCTAGGCTGTGGGCAACTGCCCACCTTCGTCTAGCACTTTCTGCAACCTTGCATAAGATCCCAACCAAAATGACATGAAGGCTTACATACCAACAATAACTTTTATCTTAGTGAGGTTTCAAATTAAAGTAGACCTATTAATGATCCATTTTCTTTGAATTTCATTACATCATCTCATTGTTGTCTGAAATTCTATTTGCCTGTTTAACTGAGGGTAATGTCTGGTTTTTTTAGAGTGCTCCACTGCCAATCTTGGAGAGTCATGAACTTTCTGTCATGACACTGGAGTATAGGAGGGAGTGTGGCAGGGACAGCGTGCTGCAATCCCTAACTGCTGTCTCTCACAAGGACATAGGTAATATGGGAAAGTTCGGTAATATTGAATGCCAGCACTTGCTTCAACTTGAGGATGGGGCTGAGATTGTGAGAGGGAGAACTGAATGGAGGCCCAAGTATGCCAAAAATTTTGGTAACATCGATCAGATTCCAGCAGAAAGTGCATAGCATCAGACTTGTTACTGTGGCAGGAGGGGCAGTGGTCTCATTGCTTTGTGTCACGATGCCTCTGTAGAATCCTTGTATTCATGGATTTATATATGTTTCTTCTTTATATATATATTCTTTCTGATTTGTCTTCCCTGAAAAAGAAAAAGAAAAGCTAGCTCATCTGTAATTAACTTCTCCGTATTACCACCCCTTCTCTTCCTCGCAATTGTCTGTCCCTCCGTAGGTGCAGGTCTGCTTTCAGAAGTGATGCCATGTGGAAAATTTGTTGTATAGAAGAAAAAGGTTTCTCTTATGCCTTTGCCAGACCCAGGTTGTCCTTGCCCATAGAATGAGATCGGCAAATTCTAGGATATTTAAACGTTTGATTGAACAGGCACTTTGTATATATTGGGGACCCTGTCTCAGTTTTTTATTACATGGATGGACCTAGCTGCCCATCCCTAAACGCAATAATTGTGTTTGCTAGTTTGGAATACCATGTCTAGCATTTGGATACTCCAGCGTGTTTGACAGCCTTCAACGTGTGATTGTGTGGCTCAAGTTGAATTAATAATTGTCAAATTGGATTTCTTTTTCTTTTTGGTAACGCTCATCCCATTTGCAGAGATTTGAATTCAAAATCTGTTGACGCCATACTCATAGCCAGTATTGAATTTCTTAAGAGAATTGGGAAATGCTCCTTTTCCGCGAAGTTTCCTTTTTATATTTCTTCAAATAGTTTCTCTTTTTTGACACAATGATTGTTGTAGATTCTTATCCTTGGAGGATGAGTAAACAAGAAGTCCCATGTCCATATTTTATAGATTTCTAATTAAGGACACAATACAGGCTGTGGTCTATTGTTGATACAAGATCCTGGAAAATCATTTGAATCTTTCCATGATCCATCTAATCCTAAATGGTTTCAATTGGGGCTTATTCTTTTAATGTTTTATTAACCAATAGAAATTTAGAAGAAAAAGATTGAGGAATAATTTTTTAACATATAACTTTTTGGCACAACCTTACACATATATATAATAATCGACTATTACCCACAAGCGGGTAGATAAGTTGACAGAGGACTCTTTCAGTTTAACCAAAGGTTTTGGTTTCAAATACTGAAAATGCAGTTCTGTTAAAACTCGTAAGGAAGAGTTTTGCCGTCTGTTTGATCTTACCCGACTTGAATCTAGATTAGTCGGTGGCCCAATGGGTTTCCGGATACCAAATGGTCTAAACCAAAAATAATAATAATAATAATAGTTGATTATTTTCATTTCACTGATATTATAATATTATATGCATCTATTCATTTTATAATATATAACTATAATAACAATAAAAAATTGTATAAAAAAGTTACACATATATCATTACACAATTTATAATGAGAATAGAATCTTGCTTATACATATTAGGAACAGAACATATATTTATACATATGGGTTTGATATACAAGTTAAATATATAGGTTAGCCATACAAATATGTACAAACCCTCATATCTATTATTATTTATTCAATACTTGGCAGATTTGCATTGTTCATATTTGTTATTTGACTGTTTTGTTCAAGTACAAAGTTAAATTTAAATACTTACCCAAACAATTCAAGTCCATAGAGATATTGAATATACTTGTACCCAATACTCACCCTAATGCAAGTCCTAGCAGAAAGTTTTTAAAATGGATCTAAATCCATGTAGACATACCGACTTTTAAGCTAGAGCCCGCAGAAACAATCCCAAAATTCCAAGGGCCACCCACATGATTGTTCTCTGCAAAGACTAACCAAACTCACTTTTTTTTCCCCTTTTTATTGCCAGAACCAAACAATACATTTAGTCTTCATTATTATGCTTCAAGAGATCTTTCAACTGACAAGAAACTGAGAACTTCAAACTTTAAACGGGTCGGATTTAAAAAATGTTAAATGTTTAATTTGGTCCCTCAACTTTATCAAATGAACATTTTTGGTCCCTCAATAATTTTTTACACTTTTTTGATCCCTCAACTATACGAAATGCACTTCGTTAGTCTTTCTGTTAATTTCAATCGTTAACTCGCTTATGTGGCATTTTTTATAATTTTTTTGATGACGTGGCAAAAACAAATTGAAAACGTGTTGATGTAGATTTTTTTTTTCATGCCAACTCACATTATTACTATTTATATTTTTAAAAAATAAAATAAAATAATTCCGTTCATTTTCTTCCTTTCTCCTTTTCTTTTCTTTTTCTTCCTCTTCTTTCTTCCTCTTCTTCCTTGGGTCATTGAACCCAATTTGT